TTGGGGAGCGCTGGTTGTTGGCTTCTGGCTTGAAGGGTTCCTCAAGGCTTTGTCCCAGATAATCCATGATCAGGCGATTGTAAAATAAAATAAAATAAACTGGGGCACTCCCAAGCACACCTCACATTGCACGCGCTGGTTGGACGACGCTTGCGTGCCCGTGAGTCCTTACACAAGTCCTGGAAAAACAATTCAGAGTTCCTCCACATGGAAAGGAATAGAATCAGGGCAACCAAGTGATCCTGCTGATATCACTGCGTGGCCAACGCCAGGTTTGAAGCTTTGAGCCTCTGTGATTCCAAGTGCTCTTTTCCTCTGGAGAAAAAGCACCAAAGACATGGGTCTGTCTTTTTTGAGCGTACCCCTTTTTATGTGGGTTTTGAAGGGAGAGCAAAAGCAAAGCCGCCTTCTTCTTTCTTTTGGGGGGGTCCCTGCAGACAAAGACACCCACATAGCGCAAACTCCTCCATAGGACAGGACGTGTTGAGCCAAGGCCCAAGTTGAACTTCCTGAATTGTCCAGGCGCCTCTGGATGTTCTGAGATACGAATTTCCCCCGCAGGATCAGTGCATCACCAACTTCCAAAGCGCTCCGTTCTTGAGACATGCCCATCGAATGGGACGAAACCATGTTTTTGCATTGCACAGATCTGCAAAAAATGGTTTGAGCACTCCACAAGCTGAGAAACTTCATTGATCCCAAGTACAAGACCCAAATATATATATATATATATATATATATATGTATATGGTGGGCCCATGGTACCACCAGCTGAGCTCGCCAAAAACCACCATTTCCGTCCAGCAAGGTGCGCAGCTGCAACTGGAAGTAGCGGTTCACTTTGGACATCTCGTGCTGCAAGAGTTCGTAGAACCTGGCAAAGGGGACACAGGCTACAGGTCCAATGGCCGCCTGTTTTTTGGGGGGCGGGGGGGGGGGGGAGTTAATCGCTACGCTCCCATGTCAGTGAGGGTTTCGACTAACGTCATTTGAAAGAAATAAGTCCCGGATACTTGAGCGTTTCTCGGGTTGCCGGGAAAAGGACGCCCTGTCATTCTGTGCTTCTCGCGTGGAAAACGGTCGCCTGACGTTGTCTCTTTGTCACACAGGGCTCCCCCCCAGCAAAAGGAAGCTCATCATAAAGTGGCAACCAAAAGGTAATGTTCAAACGGGCTGAAAAGGGACATGTGCGTCTTTTTAAGGACTCGCACAGGGTTTGGGGCGTCCTCTAAAGACGCACCCATAGCGACTCCCTGCAGAAAAAGTGGCCCTCAAGCTCCCACCGCGCTGGGGGCGGCAAAGGCCAACTCTGCGAGCCACGCCCGGCCTGGACTCTGCCGGCTGCATGCTCACGTCGGACCCCACCTAGACACGGTTCCCCAAAAGCTTCTTGTGCACACATACATGTACATACTACATACTACATATATATATATATATATGTTAGTTGTATATATATATATATAGAGATACACGCATGGGTACATGCATGCGTACACAGGCTGTATTTATGTATCTGCATAGAGCTGCGTTAACATAAATGCAATACGACATGAAGATGAACATGCTCATAGAATATGTATATATATATATATATATATGTAGGTGCATATATGTATATATATATATCTCACATATTATATCATGTTATATTATGTTACATCCTATTGGCGCGTCTTGCTTGTGAAGTGTGGAATCGGATGGCGCGAGCTGAAGCCCAAGGGTCTGATCCATTCTCATGGGAGCCCAGCGAGCCTCACGTCGGGGGATTCGGAACTGAGACAAAGGCCAACCCATCCTGAAATGTCGCAACATCATGTTGCGACATCACCACTCCGGAAGTTGAAGTTTTTCTGCAACTGCCCAGCTGCTTACCTTTTCGGAGTGACTGATTACCAAGTGGGTTGCAACATAGAATATGTATCTATGTATATGGCTGTGGCTCAAAATTAAACAGAGGGGCTACGCAGGAGTTGGTCCATGTTTCCACTTCCCAGGGCAACCCATTTTGGAACTCCGGGTTTTTTTGGGGCCACAGCCATATGTGTGTGTAAAAACCGCACCCCCCAGGTGGGTGGCCCTGTTCGCAGCTTCCCAGGCCTCCGTGGGGACCACCACCTGGATGGCCTGGGGCGAGGGAGTGGGAGGAGGGGAAAACCTCTGCAAAGATCGACACCCCGCTTGGCGTGCCCTAAAATCCGAGTTTGTGTTTTTCAAAAACCCGGGGTTGGAGCACAATGATCAATTCTCAAGACTCATGGAAGTGGACAGGGGACCTGTACAAAAATAACGATCTTGCAGGGCCCTTCTACGCCTCTATGCACTTTCCATTGTTGGAAAGTCATGGGGGCTGGGGGGGGGGGGGCCAACAAAAGCAAAAAAAAAACGCCCGAAAAAGAAGGCCTTGATGATTGAGGGCTTCTTTGGGCTCCCTCCCTCCCAAAGAAAAAAGGGGGCTGTCCTTGCAGCGGACCCATTCCCAAGATCTTCCTTAGGTTCGACGGTAGGGCTCTTAACAAAGGCGGCTTCCACACGTCATACAGGCTTCAGCATCATTCAGGGATTTGTCGATTTCAACTGGCAAAAGAGGCAAAAAAGACAAACACCCTGGAAAAAGAAAGCCCCCCAAACAAAAATCGGTGGCCTTTGTTTATATGGCGTAGAGAACTCTAGGATCTTCTTGGCCCGAAATCGGGGAAAAAATCCAAAAAGAAACCCACTAAATAGATCGGCAGCCGAAAGAGTGATCAAAACGACCAAAAGAGGAATATGGGTTGTTGCCAGGGGGACCCTCCAACACTCTGTGAGGTCTCCCTTTAAAACCAATCTTCTGCAAGGGTACCCTTACAGAAAACAAACACCGATCCCAAGTGGATGAACAAAATCCTGCACGAGTTGGAAGGTGGCTTGTCCGTGCTTTCAATCACCTTCATCCATCCCAGTGGTGCAGAATTTTGTCCATCCGCCTGGAAAATGTGTTGCAAAAAGGGGGTGTCTTTTTTAGGGGAACCCCCAATATGGTGTGTTTATCGGCTTCCCTGTTAAAATCATAAAAATGGGTACCCTCGAAAAATAAACACCCCCAAAAGAAGGCTGGTAAAAACGGTACCAGGTGCCTTCTTGAGCACGTCATAGGCAAGGTAGTGGTTCAGGTGCGCGGGATCCGCGAGGCGCTTGATCTGCTTGCCGAACTTCATGCCTGATTTCAAACCCCGTCTGTCAGATTCCCTCTAGTTGGTCGTTTGGATTGGTGGTTTGGTTGCACAGTTTGGTCAGACGCCATTTTTACATCTAACTCTATGCGGCCATGGGTCAAAGGCCCCTACCCCCAGAGAACATCCCAATCCCCATTAAAAAAGACTAAAATGGATGGTGCACCCACCCCAAAATGGTACCATTGGTTTTGACCCACAGCCATGTCTCCAACTGGTGAGCTGCACAAATGGGTGTCTCGTTGGCTTCCTTTCCATGACTCCGAGTTTCGGTACTTGAGGATCCCGACATGTCGGGCTGTGGATAAATAAAAACACTTCGCACCAGTTGGTAAAGCACTGTGAATGCTGGTTGATACACTACCCAACTGGGTACACTGGATTTTGGATGTGATAGGGAGTGTGCAATGTAGCTAAACATAAGGGGAACCTTTTTCCCTTTGTGGGTACGGAAGGGGGGTAGGGTAGTCTTCACCAGGGTGGCCCAATTCCTTTGCATTTGGGTTAGTCAGCCCCTTGCTTGCCCACATGAAGGAATTCTGCCATCTGCTTTCATCCTAGTGTTCATCCTTTCTCATCCAGTTTCAGGCTCCCCTCAATTGGTGGTTGCAAAAACTTAAATTTTAGCAGTTAAGTGGGGATTTCCCACTAAACCACAATAAGAAAAAATGGGAAACATGTTTCCCAACAACAACTATGGCCAGGTGGATGACCATCCCCAGCAACCCCAAGTAAATCTTCACAGCGGGACCCGCCTGCCAGGTGCTGGCTACGGGTGCCGCCAGGCTCCCGAGCCGCTCTTTGAGCAAAGCGGCTCGTCGGGGGGGATAGGGCGCGTACAAGAAAACACTTAAAATATCCAACAGCATTTGGAGACATTCCAGAAAAGTGGACCACCATGAGGGGCCACGTGCCAACAGATGCTTGCTCACTCAATGCTCATTCCGATCATGAGCGTAGTTGGATTTAAAAGTACTCCACGGACCATTCCAAGCAATATAGACCCTAATAGCAACTCCTCCCCCGAACGTAATCATGGAATCCGTATCAAGACCTTCAGTCCACTCTTCCGCAAAATCACGAGCCCAAAAAAGGGATCGGCGCATCCATGGCGGCTTTTGGAGGTGTGCGACGTTGCAGGGAAGCAAAATCAACCAAGTCGCATGTGTCATAGGAACATGGCCCCCTGGAATTCAGCTTCAACCCTCCCACCTACCAGGTGGAAGGGAATTGTCCATCCATCATGTCTTTGGCAACGCATCAGCAGCCACGCAGCGCCCTTTCGCTTGAGGGTCTCTCTCAAGATTTATCGGATTGCAAACCCTGGGTCCCCTTTTCGGAGACGAAAACAAGTACCACAGAAGGGCAGTCCTCTCTCAACACAGATTTTGTGATCAAATCGCACAGGTCCTTTTAACAAATTGAACCAGCGTTGCATACAGCTTTTATGTAGACCGTACTGAAACCCTTGTCAGACCAAGTAGTAGAATTGCCCGGGAAAATGGCACTAGCACGCAGTTTTGGGCGCTACTCTGTCCACCTTCGCCCCTGCGCCTTTGCATCCTGGAGTTCCTTGCATGGGTATTTGTCAAACTGGGTGGTCTCCCCTTTGGTTTGAAAGGAAATCGGTACACTCAAACCACACTTTTGCAGCATGCCCCCTTTAAACATCACCCCGAAGACAAACACGATTAAACTTGGCAAAGCTGATATTTCAGCCACTCAAAAAGGGAAATACAAGGACTGCCCTTCAGTCGCCCACGCCCAACTGCCTCCCCTCCCCCCCGCCTTCTGCACGCGGTTACTCGCCTTGTCCATGCCATCAGACACGGCCCGCGCGTTGTCACTGGCGCGAGGTGCGGAATGCTTTCCGCCAGGGTTTAGCTTCGTTGCAAACGACACCCCTTGTCTTAAACAGGAGTTCCTGTAGTAGCCACCTGAACATGACCGAAATTTGGTCTGGCACATGGGTAGGTTGTGTTCTTTGAGGAGCCCTGTCAAAGAAGGCTACAGACTCATAGACTCACTCATAGAGGTACCCCTGACAAGAACAGACAAGAACGCACAGGAATAGAAACGAACAAGCACACAAGCAGACCCACATAGACAAGGACAGCCAGACAGACAAACACACACACACACACACACACACACACACACACACACACACACACACACACACACACAAACACCCACGAACGCACAGACGGAGACACGCTGTGACACACACACACACACACACATGCGGAGGGAAATTCAGTGAGTCCCACACATGTCCCTGACACATTGACCAACGACAAAACAGGACATTTTGACGGAGAGGACATGGGAAATTTGGGTGGGCACATGGCTTTTGTGGTTGTCATTGTATTTCGGACACGTACGCCTCCAAAAGAGGACAAGCAAGGGAGGGCACACATCGCCTTTGGGGCGGTTTGACGGGAAGTTCCAAAGGCACACCTATCTGGGCAATTTGAAACAGTTTGACCAGAAATCAGACCCCCGCGTTTGCAGATACAGGACCTTCATCATGGGGCCCCAGCTCCTTTTTGGCCCCGATCGGTGCGCTGGCTGCAACGCCCCCATGTCATTTGTTGTCAACAACCAGATTAAGAGGAGGACCATCTCTATCAGCACCAAGTAAAGGAGTCTTTTGCCCATGTGGAAACCCCCAAACCATCCATCCCATGGGAAGTTTAGAGCTGGCCCCCTCCATCCCTCGCAAATCGACCATCTGGATCAGTTGACTGCAACCCCCCTCCCTTTGGCTAAAAATAAAAACCGTCTTCCTTTCTTGGTTTCCCCTTCCACCAGCCACGACCTCCCACAAAGGGGCCCCCCACCCCTCCCAGCCCCGCATCCAACCGCCCGGCCCCCGCTCGGCTCGGCCGAGCGGCCACTCGAGCTGCAGCTCCACCACCTTGGCCTCCAGCTGGGCCTTCTCCTCCGCCACCTCCGCAGAGCCAATGGAGACTGGGCTGCCCGATTTCTGATCTCCCGCAAGTGACAAACTTTTCGTGGGTTTGACGAAAACTGCAACTAAACACTAAAAGGATCCAAAAAGCTAAGGAACCGGATGGCTGGGAGCCAAACCGTCGCACCGGGCACTGGGCTCCGGTCCTTCCAGGAAGTCGTGATGGTGCCCCATCTGAAAAACAAATGGTTTGGTTTTGTGTTGCTTGTTGTTCTGGCGGGTGTCTTTTGCTGTTGTTCTGCTCAATACTTTAAGACAAACGCCACGGGCGGTTTCCGGTGAAAAACAAAGGGGGGTCAGAAAAATGTCCTCGGTGTCCAGCAGGTTGAAGGGACCCTACCTTTGGGGCTGAGCAAAGCAAAGGGACCCTGTTTCACCCAGTTTGGGCTGGGAACCCAAAGGGAACTATTTCGGGGTAACCTGTGGGTTGGTCTTCAGGCAAATGGGATTGCGTCTCCCAACCCTGGCAACGGCTTCCTTGATTCCATTCACCAACCTAAAGCGAGGTCCACCACAAAAACCAAACACATGGCAACCGCACGGCGAGCTTCTAACACGTGCACCATGTCCATCTCCTGCTTGCTGCCGTTGTGCTGGCTGGTTGATCTGTCTGACAGAAACCATCTACAATCGGGGATACCCCTAGAGCAGTGATGGTAGTCCGGCTGCAAACGTTTTTGGGGCTTGAGTTGACAAGTGCCAGCCAAACCTGTGCCTTTATGTGGGGTTTCTGGTGCGCATCGGGAAAGGCCAGCGCGTTTCAAGAAGCGGACTGGGGATCATTTAACACAACTATTATATACCTGTTTGAGGGTAGCTTGACAACTTGCTGGCCTTCAGCGAATGCGGGAATTTTTACCCTGGGGATTCCCTGAAAAACGCATCAAGGGCTGGTGCATCTCATTCCCACCTTCCCTGCCTATGGCGGATTCCCGGCTTTCCCGCGCTTCCCAACTTGGCGCCCTCCACACCCCGCCTGCTGCTCGATCTCGCGGCGCTTCTGCGCGATGGCCTCCTGCATGGCGGCCTGGCGGAAGAGCTCCGGTGGGAAGTGAACCGATTTTCCGCGGGACCAAAGTGAGTCAGAATCAAATGGCATCGGAATGGTCTACCTAGAGCCTTACCAACCTTCATCTACCCGGGCGTTGATTGTGGTAAAGTGAGTCATAGTCAACACCTGGTGTGTCAAAAGGTCTACCATGAGAGTGGGGACCAGTTCTAGAATGTAGATTTGAGTGCTTGCTTCACTGTGAATCAGAAGGTTCTAACCTTCATCTAAACCGGGTTTTGATTATGGCTCAAGTGGGCGTCCCATCCTGTTTAGCAATGTAGAGGGCACACTCACAGGCCCAAGGTCGCATTGTTTTCATTTGTTGGGCATGAACTTGCCACTGTTGAAGGTCCCAAAATGGGAAACTGAGAAAACTTTGAAGAAAGCCGCGGAGGGACAATCGAAAACTGTCTGAGCCCCAAGAAGCTTGCATTTGTGGATCCCGAAACGGTAGACTGAGAATAGTGCCACTGACTCGCATGGTGTCCACCACCCCCAAACCACTTCTGGGTACGTATCCACTGTATAGCCACTATGTAAAGGCGCTGCAGATCTCATTTTCCCCGGGTGCCGGATAGTTTGTGAGTGGAGGCGGAGACGGGGTCATGAATCTGAGAACTAGTCGTGATGCTTGGAACCTTTCATACCGCCATATGGTCTGATATGGTGCTGCACAAACTAGAGGTCCCCCGAACTAAGAATTGTTGTTGTCCATTTTTGGGGTTTCCCGGTGAATACCAACTAAAAGCCGGTCCACCATTTCTGCAAAACTTTGCGTATGATGGGGTGTTGGACCGACGGCTAAAATTGTTTGGACCCAAAGCGGGGAGCCTTTTCTTGATCAAATGGCAACTGGATACGCAAACGTCCAACTCGTTATGACGTTCCTGCCGGGTGCTTCACAAACTAGGGAACCCTAAAAAGTCAAGGGCTCCTCGCAAAAAAGCAGCCAAAAGCTGCAGGAGTTGCTTTTGGAGCATGTTGAATGGTTGAAACCTGTTTGGCCTGGAGGTTGGCCCCATCCGATCTTCATGTCCAGTTGCTTCCCCTTAGCTCTTTTGGAAGCATTGATCTTTATGGAGGTTCTGGTTGTTCAACAAGCAGGGTGAACTGGTGGGTTCCAAAGCAGATGATCACGGGCTGGTCGTTTTTGGGTACTCCCTTTTGGTTCTGTTCATGGCTGTCAAAAGGAAAACAAAGCTGCCCAGCCCGACATGACCTCTTGCCTTTGGAGTAGACATTCAGGGCTTGGGCATCCAGCAAGCTCCCTTCTCGAACACCATTCTCCTTTCCTCCCTTCTCCCGACGAATCTTGGCGGCGTGTTGGTTTCATAGAGGCATTATCCTCATCTTACCAAGGGTGAACGCGCCCCTAGTCACGCAGAAGAACAACCATCCTGGGTCTCTGTGGTGCCCCGCGTGGTCGCGCATCATCTGGTCGAGCTTCGTGTTGAGGTCCGCGATTTGCAGGTCCTGCAAACCCCGCCGCAACTTAGATGGACAACCCTTCGAATAGCCATGCCATGAAACTATGGTCGATCCTAAGAGATATTTATGGTTGGTCAGCGCTCACACCAAAACCTGGTTGTCATCATAAACACAACTACGATGCGATCAAACGTCCCAGCAAGAACCCCTGAAGGAATGTCTGCAAAAAAAGCTGGTCTCAGGTGCAAAGCTCTTTGCCTTGCGGAAAAAAAACACCGGCGATTCGCCTGGCTCTAGGTGTTGGCAAATATGGATGCCACCCCCCCCCCCCGCCCCCTCAAGTCTCCTGCTCCTCGCTCAACCTCTTCCACTCAGCCACGGAGGACGTCAGAGAGCCCACCGTCTGCGACGCTCGTGTGTTCCGTGTTTTCCCCTTCAATGTCAAGCCCGGATTGATCAACCTCGATGATTCGAGGGGCGCCCCCCCCCCCCCCGCCATGAACCCCCCCAAGGAAAAAAGAAGGATTCCCCAGGTAATCCCCTAAAAAGTGATCTGAGCTACCAGCATGAGACAACCCCGAAAACACAAATATGCCAATCCTGGAGTCCCTTGACAGCGCATCTGACAACTTCCCTGCATAGCCTCGAATGCCGCCCGTTGCCCAACCAAGTTTTTCGAACAAGCTCCTCAACCCTTTCGCAGTCCAATCCAACACCGGTTCCTCAATATCGGACAATCAACGGGAAACTTGCAAATTCATTATAGTTGCATTAACTGAACCGTTGGTGTCAATTTGCAAGGGATGCGAGAAACTGTGAATGTCGGCTGGCACCCCTCCCCAGCTCATCAAGATTGGTAGCATGATAGGAGCTGCGCTGAGAAATCTAGACGCGGCCTCCAAATTTTATGTGAGAAGCTGTCCCTTTCAGGGGTGTCAGCGTCAACTGTGGAGAAACTTGACATTCTCAAAGGCCCCCAAAGTGGATCGCATCCACTGCTCAAACGCAGGATCACACCTCCAAGGAAACCTGAGTGACTCAAGTGGGTCATCCCCCTTCGGCAACGAATCTAACTTAACCTTTGGAAGGTTCAACAGGAAATCAGATAGTTTCCAAAAATTATATGCTGCTTCGGGCCGATTCAGATGCACCAAGGACCAGCCATGACTCCCTCCCATTTGAAGTCAAGAACTATTCCCTTCGGTCCATGTACTATCGGATGACCCGAAGCACATCCGGCCAAAACATGCATGCGAGCGTGGGCCATGCGAGTATGCACCGCTCAAGTATGCAAGTAAGGGAGAGAGGGAAGAAAAACAGAAGGCCAGTCAGGTCTCAACAGCTTGGCTTTAGGTGGTTCTTCAGGCTGCTGACTCGACTTCGTCGGCCGGGGGGAGCCTAATGGTTCTAGCGTGCAGTCAGCTGAACGAAGATCTGCCTGTGCTGCTCATGTCAACGAGGGCTTCCGCGAAAGGTTCTTGCTGGAATTCGCCTTGGGGTTCACGGTCTGTTTTTTTACTAGGTCCGTTGGCCTGGCAACATCTCCAGCATCACCAGCATCACTTGGACCTGGGGTTGCCTATGAAAGCTTTTACTTAACCACACACACCACCACCCACCACACCACCCACCCACCCACCCACCCACCCACCCACCCACCCACCCACCCACCCACCCACCCACCCACCCACCCACCCACCCACCCACCCACCCACCCACCAACCAACCAACCAACCAACCAACCAACCAACCAACACCACCTAATTAAGAAAGAGGAAAAAACAACTACCTCCGCCTGACTTACGCCTGCAACAAAACTCCTGGTCCGTTTAAAAGGCGACCCAAAAGGTGGCATGTTGGCGAGGTATTTGTCACTTGGATGAGTCACTGCAGCTGGCGACTGTAGCGGAGGCAACCCCAATGGTGCCGAACGGAACGGGGCTCTAGGTGACCTTTTAGAAAAATACATGATCTTCCCCTGTAAAAACAAGGCATAGAAAACCCATCCGAACCACTGGAACCCATCGGTTTTTTCTTCACCCAACGATCCTTGACAAGGACTCAGTTAAAAAGACCTCAAGACACAACAGGTAGATCATGGGGGGGGGGGGGGCTGACCGACTGTCCACAGCTTTAGCTTTCCCCATTTCGCCTCCCCCATGGCTCGCAGTCGTGGACCCTGGGTCCCGCCCAAAGAAAGGGCCTCCTGGGACTGCTTCAGGCGCTTCTCCAGGCCCTGCTTGTCCTGCGCGCTTCCGCCTTCTTTCACACCCCGAAACCCATCTAGGTCCACATACATACATATATATATATATATGTATACATAGAATACGACTACTACTACTACTACTACTACTACTACTACTACTACTACTACTACTACTACTACTACTACTACTTCTACTACTACTACTACTACTACTACTACTACTACTACTACTACTATTAATAATAATCATAGTGATAGTAATGATAATAATGATAATAATAATCGTAACAGCAATAATAATAATTGTCATAATAAATAAATATATGAGATCGGTACGCTTAAGGACCACGGGCACCACGGGCTTCACGGGCACGGGCTTCACGGGCTTCACGGGCACCACGGGCATCACGGGCACGGGCTTCACGGGCACCACGGGCACCACGGGCATCACGGGCACGGGCTTCACGGGCACCACGGGCACCACGGGCTTCACGGGCAGCACGGGCAGCACAGGCAGCACGGGCACCACGGGCATCATACGCAGCACAGGCAGCATAGGCTCCACGAAGGCTCAACGAAGGCTCCACAAGTATGTGCCCGATAAACAAGAAAACCCAAATGCCATAAGGAACTTCAAAATCTTCGACAAATCTTCAAAGCCAACATCTCTAAAATACTGGCGAGCTGCACAGAAGGCCACCCAACGAAAGAGAGAATGAAAACACTGTAGGTTTGCAGAACAGTCGACAGTCAATGAGCAATCCAAGCGCCACGCCCTCCGTTCCAGGCCAAGCTACACAACGGAGCTGCTACTTTAGGTTTGCCCCTTGTCTGCCCCCAACCTTCGTCAAGGCAACTAATTCTTGACAGCTTCGCGCCAGGCTTGCAAAGACTGATGCTAAAACGAACTAGCACAAGATAGAAACTGTTCATCCCCATCCTCGTCAAGGCGACTAATTACTAGCGGCTTCGCGCCAGGCTTGCAAAGGGCGGGATGCCAAAGCGAACCAGCAAGATAGAAACTGTGGGATTTGGTCCACCGTCACCAAGGTGAGTGCCCCCCAACGGACTCACGTCAGGCGTGCAAAGGGTGGAATCTCAGCGCTTCCAACTCGAAACAAGAAGCATGTCAAAAACATGTGCTTGCGCAGGATCACATCTTCCATCCGAGATCTACCCATGGCTTCACCAAGGCGAAAACCCCAAAGACTTTGCGCTAGGCCTCGCCCTCACAGGTGCAACAGGCTCAGGGGCATCAGCATCCAAATCTATTGGTGCCGCCACAGGCTTCTTCTGCTCTTTCTTGATCCGTGGCGCCTTCTCAGCCTTGCTCCTCACACGGTCTGCCAAGGTAGAGAAGGGAAGCTGGCACAGCATCATGAGTTCGTTGTGAAAGCGACGCAGTGCGAGTTCATCTGCGCAGTCTGGCAGGTCCACAAAAACTCTTGGGCAGTTCGGACGCTCTTCAGCATCAGCCCCGCAACAATACCTCGCAATGCGGCTGTCCCGCAAGCCCGCCTCCATCACTGCCTTCCAGTGATGGATTTTCACAGCGGTGCGCTGGAACTTAGCGCCTGAAGAGCCAGGGCATTCCACCTTCTTCCTGACAACTGTGGAGTCGATGACCCGGAAACCGAAGATGCAAGGCTCTCCTCGCAAAAGCGTGCGCTGCATGAGGGCCTTGCTGGTGCAACTTTCGACCCAAGTACTTCATCCACTACATAACGGGTGGCTCGGAAGAATGGAAATAGGACAGGCACACTCTGACATCTCCTCTGCAAAACACAAGCACGTCAATGCCCCCGCCCAAGCATAGCCTCTGCAAGTTCTGGAACCTCCGCACGGGGTTCGCCGCGACCACAATGCATTCGCACAGAGCCACAGCGAGAACGCTTCGACACGCAGGGTCTCCGCAGAGGCAACGCCGAGGTCAAGACATATTCAAAGTGCGCACCTCGAAGGTTCGCCGAGGTCAACACAGCGCCGCGACGAGAGCGCTTTGACGCGGAGTGAGGGCGCATCGACACGCGCAATCTCTACAAAAGATTCACCGAATTTCGGCATATTCGCACGGCGCCACAGCGAGAGCTTGGTCTCAGCCAAGGGCTTGCCGAGCTCAAGACGCATTCGCACGGAGCCACGGCGAGAGTCGAATAGCTCCGCAGAGGGTTTGCCGGCTCAGAAGAAGAATCACGGTTGGCAGGAGAGGCTGGCAGGCGAAGTAACTTGCGAAAAGTTCGCATGAGATGTTGCAGGCGAAGTTTGTAGCCGCCTTTAGGAAAAGAACCCATGCTTCCGGGAACTTGACGAAAACTCAAAAGCTTGCACACAGGCTTGCTAGTTTCAGCCTGCAGCACTCTGTCGCTCATCACAACTTCTCCCAGCGCCGGGTCTTGCACCGAAGCTCCGTTCTCCCCGTATCCACACGTCAGGGCAGGGACGTCAGGGTCCATTATGGTGAGAAGCGCTGGCAACTCTTCCCCAGCTTCTGCAAGAACGTCATCATCCTCCACCGCTTCGAAAGCCCCGAACTGCGACGTTGGTAACCTGCCCGCTTCCTGCGCTGCTGCCAACTTCTGGGCTGCAGACAAAGTCCAAGCCCCTGAGTCCTCCACCTTCGCAAATGCCTCCTGCTGACACCAAATGTCGACAAGCGCGTGGGAAACTTGGACTTGTTCCCAGGCCCTCAAGATGTGGTGATCCTGGATCTGCACCTGCGTGGTCTCCTCAATGGAAAGTTCCCAAATCAGGTTGGCAGCCGCCAACATGGCAATGTGCCACGGAGCGCAGCCTGCGCGTGCAGCGCTCCCATTGTCATCTGCTCCGTTTCTGAGCAAGGCGCCGCGTGTGTTGCAGCACGCCTGCAGACCTGTGAAGACTGCCCGGGCTTCCGCGCTCATGTCGATGCGGGAGTTAGCCGTCTCGAAGAATGAGACAACTCTTCGTGCAAGGGACTGAACGTCTTCACCTTCTGGCATGGGGGTGTTTCTGTTGCTGGTTCGAAAGTGGGCCTTGTAGTACCTCTGCCCTCCCTTGACCTGGGCCAGCCAAGTGACACCAACACACAGGCGTGCATGCTTTTGAGCATCGCTGTCAACCTTAACGAAAACGGGAGAACCGGCCGCTTACAGGAAACTTGTGCAGAAACGACAAACCTTCTTAAGGTCAAGATGCCTCCGCCACGCGGAACCGAAGCAAAGTCTCGGTGCCATCGGCAAGGACCATGTTGTACACCTGATCCCCATGCCCGTCAGCGTCGCGGCAGGCTGGGGCGAACAACTTCGCAGCCACCTGGTGGCGGTTCGCGCCAGCAGGCAGCCCGAGGGGCTCGAGCATGCAGTCCAACAACGGCGCCCAGATCCTCAGAACTTGCCAGGAGTTACCCATTTGAAATGAAAACCGCGGCCCCCAAATCAAATAAAGAAGGACCAAGTCTAAGTGTCCACGGATCAAAGTCAGCTGGGACGTCCAGGCTGGCGGGGAGCGGGGCATGCGGGTCAACTGGTCTTCCGCACGTTTGCAGCAGGCGCTCGCGACAAGCAACGTCGTGCGAGCCGCTGGCGCCGGTCAAGCAAGGCACGTACTTGGAGGGATGAACATTGCCAAAGCCGAGCACACCAACTGGGGCCTTGTTCCTCGTGGTGCCGAAAGACCCCGCGTTCTTGCATGCGTAAGAACTTCGCCCCGTCTGGAGAATGCGATTCAGTTCGGACGCCAGCTCCGCAGCCTCGCCGGACTTAGCGCTGGCGCCGCTCCCAATCAATCCGACCATCCGCAGGAAGCGATACGCTTCGTCCAGATTGAGGAGGTTGGACATGTGCACCCTGCCAGTACTACCGTCAGACCACTGCACCTGCGGCCACTGAGGGCTGCAGCGTTGGAGGAATGCCTGCTCCGTGAACATAGCCAACATGACACTGGTAAGTTTCCCTGGCTCCTCTGGACCATGCTGCGCGGCCCTTCTCTGGCACGCCTCATCAATGACGGCCGAAATGTCATCAAGCACTTGGGTAAGCTGCGACTTGCGTGTCTGGGTCACATTGCAATTGAGAGCAATGAGGCTGAGAGGCGAAGAAGAGCCTGGAAACACTTCTACAACGGCACCGTTGGCGCAGCTGCAAAGGGCTATCTGCAAAGACAGCCCCAGAGGCATCGCCGGCGTAGATGCTCGTGCAGCAAGACGTTGGACAATTTGAGACCCGCGTTCGCCATAGATCTCCTCGATCTTGAACACTCTATCAACATAGTCATAGGCTGCGTTCCTCTGGGCCGAGAAGTCCTCCTCCGGCTTTGCGGCTGGCTCTTTTCGCGACATCCGGCCAACACAAAGGGACTGCGCCTACCTACCGCCCGGAACCGCTAGTTGCCTCGCAGCGCTCGCCCTTGGCAAGAGCTCAAACCAAATCGCACAACACACAGGTCGCGCGCAGCCGCGCAAAGGAAGATGCGTGTGGGGCTCAGGCTCTGCTGCTGGCATCTCAGCCAGCCTGCGCTGCACGGCGCCCTGCTATCTCACTCACGCTATCGACGCTGTCGAGAACGGGGGCCAAACGTGTTGTTTGCCCTCGCTTCCAGGAACTCGCCCGAAACTGACTATAGGGTTCAGTAGGCACGTTTTTGCCCGCAATACATATACTGCTGTCTAACCCTGGCGGCGTGGTCAACGCTCGGTCAATCCCTTTTACACAGTCTGCCAGTCTCAGCCATTCAGCCGCGTTTCATGGCACAACAGGAAAAGCTAGATAGAACATGTAGCTGAGCACCCAAAACAACACTTCAACACGCTTGGGACCAAAAGAAAGCATTGATAAGAGATCGTCAGGACGTGACCGTAAAACTTGCTCACGGCTTGGGAATGCACAGCGCAAGCCTGGCCAGAGCCTAACTAAACATCAGATGTTCCAACAGTGCCTGAGCGGGCACGAAAGAAGCCACCTCTGAAGCCACTCGAAGGAGGGCCCCGCAGCGATTCAACTCCGCAGCATCAACTTCTAGAAGAGGGAAACAAGGGGTTTAAAACCCTTCTAGACAAGGTC